GTGTGTTTGGACCATGATCATTCATTAGTGATGTGGACACCAAGGAACTTGAAGCTCTCAACCTGTTCCACTACAGCCCCGTCGATGAGAATGGGGGCGTGCTCAGTCCTCTTTTTTTTCCTGTAGTCCACAATCATTTCCATTGTCTTGATCACGTTGAGGGAGAGGTTGTTATTCTGGCACCACACAGCCAGGTCTCTGACCTCCTCCCTATATGCTGTCTCATCGTTGTCGGTGATCAGGCCTACCACTATTGTGTCATCGGCAAACTTAATGATGGTGTTGGAGTCGTGCCTGGCCATGCAGTCATGGGTGAACAGGAGGGGACTGAGCACGCAACACTGAGGGGCCCCCGTGTTGATGATCAGCGTGGCAGATGTGTTGTTACCTACCCTTACCACCTGGGGGCGGCCCGTCAGGAAGTCCAGGATCCAGTTGCAGAGGGAGGTGTTTAGTCCCAGGATCCTTAGCTTAGTGATGAGCTTTGAGGGCACTATGGTTGAGCTGTAGTCAATAAATAGCATTCTCACGTAGGTGTTCCTCTTGTCCAGGTGGGAAAGGGCAGTGTGGAGTGCAATAGAGATTGCATCATCTGTGGATCTGTTGGGGCAATATGCAAATTAGAGTGGGTCTAGGGTTTTTGGGATAATGGTGTTGATGTGAGCCATGACCAGCCTTTCAAAGCACTTCATAGCTACAGACGTAAGTGCTACAGGTCGGTAGTCATTTAGGCAGGTAATCTTAGTGTCCTTGGGCACAGGGACTATGGTGGTCTGCTTGAAACATGGGGCGGCAGGTAGCTTAGTGGGTAAGAGCGTTGTGCCAGTAACCGAAAGGTCGCTGGTTCTAATCCCCGAGCCGACTAGGTGAAAAATCTGTCGATGTGCCCTTAAGCAAGGCACTTAACCCTAATTGCTCCTGTAAGTCGCTCTGGATAAGAGCGTCTGCTAAATGACGTAAATGTAAATGGTATTACAGACTCAGTCAGGGACATGTTGAAAATGTCAGTGAAGACACTTGCCAGTTGGTCAGCACATGCTCGGAGTACACGTCCTGGTAATCCGTCTGGCCCTGCAGCCTTGTGAATGTTGACCTGCTTAAAAGTCTTACTCACATCGGCTACGGAGAGTGTGATCACATAGTCATCCGGAACAGCTGGTGCTCTCATGCATGCTTCAGTGTTGCTTGCCTCGAAGCGAGCATAGAAGTGATTTAGCTCGTCTGGTAGGCTTGTGTCACTGGGCAGCTCGTTGCTGTGCTTCCCTTTGTAGTCTGTAATAGTTTTCAAGCCCTGCCACATCCGACGAGCGTCAGACCCGGTGTAGTACGATTCAATCTTAGTCCTGTATTGACTCTTTGCCTGTTTGATGGTTCGTCGGAGGGCATAGCGGGATTTCTTATAAGCGTCCGGGTTAGAGTCCCGCTCCTTGAAAGCGGCAGCTCTAGCCTTTAGCTCAGTGCGGATGTTGCCTGTAATCCATGGCTTCTGGTTGGGGTATGTACGTACGGTCACTGTGGGGATGACGTCATCGATGCACTTATTGATGAAGCCAGTGACTGATGTGGCATACTCCTCAATGCTATCTGAAGAATCCCGGAACATATTCCAGTCTGTGCTTGCAAAACAGTCCTGTAACTTAGCATCTGCGTCATCTGACCACTTTTTTATTAACCGAGTCACTGGTGCTTCCTGCTTTAGTTTTTGCTTATAAGCAGGAATCAGGAGGATAGAGTTATGGTCAGATTTGCCAAATGGAGGGCGAGGGAGAGCTTTGTATGCGTCTCTGTGTGTGGAGTAAAGGTGGTCTAGAGTTTTTTTTCCTCTGGTTGCACATTTAATATGCTGATAGAAATTAGGTAGAACGGATTTAAGTTACCCTGCAATAAAGTCACCGGCCACTAGGAGCGCTGCCTCTGGATGAGCATTTTCCTGTTTACTTATGGCCTTATACAGCTCCTTGAGTGCAGTCTTAGTGCCAGCATTGGTTTGTGGTGGTATATAGATAGCTACGAAAAATATAGAAGAAAACTCTCTTGGTAAATAGTGTGGTCTACAGCTTATCATGAGATACTCTACCTCAGGCGAGCAAAACCTTGAGACTTCCTTAGTATCCTCTCCTTCCTCTCCCCCCCCCTCCCCTTCTCTCCTCTCCTTCCTCTTCCCTCCCCTTCTCTCCTCTCCTTCCTCCCCCCTCCCCTCCCCTCCCCTTCTCTCCTTTTCTCTCCTCCCCTTACTCCCTCACAAGGTTTTGGATTGAATTACATTAGTGTTGTTTACCACCGGCAGGGTGTGTGTGTGTCTCTGCACTCTGTTCCCTGGAAAAGCAGATTACGCAGCAAAAGCCATTTCACGAGGAGATCATGAGATTTCTCAGTTAGTGTGAAAAAGTGGGCGGAGTGGGGTGAAGATTTAGGGAGGGGGGAGGGGGCCTAGGATGGGGGATATACATTTAGAGGGATTGTAAAGATAATACACTGCTCAAAAAAATAAAGGGAACACTTAAACAACACATCCTAGATCTGAATGAATGAAATAATATTATTAACTACTTTTTTCTTTACATAGTTGAATGTGCTGACAACAAAATCACACAAAAATTATCAATGGAAATCAAATTTATCAACCCATGGAGGTCTGGATTTGGAGTCACCCTCAAAATTAAAGTGGGAAACCACACTCCAGGCTGATCCAACTTTGATGTAATGTCCTTAAAACAAGTCAAAATGAGGCTCAGTAGTGTGTGTGGCCTCCACGTGCCTTTATGACCTCCCTACAACACCTGGGCATGCTCCTGATGAGGTGGCGGATGGTCTCCTGAGGGATCTCCTCCCAGACCTGGACTAAAGCATCCGCCAACTCCTGGACAGCCTGTGGTGCAACGTGGCGTTGGTGGATGGAGCGAGACATGATGTCCCAGATGTGCTCAATTTGATTCAGGTCTGGGGAACGGGCGGGCCAGTCCATAGCATCAATGCCTTCCTCTTGCAGGAACTGCTGACACACTCCAGCCACATGAGGTCTAGCATTGTCTTGCATTAGGAGGAACCCAGGGCCAACCGCACCAGCATATGGTCTCACAAGGGGTCTGAGGATCTCATCTCGGTACCTAATGGCAGTCAGGCTACCTCTGGCGAGCACATGGAGGGCTGTGCGGCCCCCCAAAGAAATGCCACCCCACACCATGACTGACCCACCGCCAAACTGGTCATGCTGGAGGATGTTGCAGGCAGCAGAACGTTCTCCACGGCGTCTCCAGACTCTGTCATGTCTGTCACATGTGCTCAGTGTGAACCTACTTTCATCTGTGAAGAGCACAGGGCACCAGTGGCGAATTTGCCAATCTTGGTGTTCTCTGGCAAATGCCAAACGTCCTGCACGGTATTGGGCTGTAAGCACAACCCCCACCTGTGGACGTCGGGCCCTCATATCACCCTCATGGAGTCTGTTTCTGACCGTTTGAGCAGACACATGCACATTTGTGGCCTGCTGGTGGTCATTTTGCAGGGCTCTGGCAGTGCTCCTCCTGCTCCTCCTTGCACAAAGGCGGAGGTAGCGGTCCTGCTGCTTGGTTGTTGCCCTCCTACGGCCTCCTCCACGTCTCCTGATGTACTGGCCTGTCTCCTGGTAGCGCCTCCATGCTCTGGACACTACGCTGACAGACACAGCAAACCTTCTTGCCACAGCTCGCATTGATGTGCCATCCTGGATGAGCTGCACTACCTGAGCCACTTGTGTGGGTTGTAGACTCCGTCTCATGCTACCACTAGAGTGAAAGCACCGCCAGCATTCAAAAGTGACCAAAACATCAGCCAGGAAGCATTGGAACTGAGAAGTGGTCTGTGGTCACCACCTGCAGAACCACTTCTTTATTGGGGGTGTCTTGCTAATTGCCTATAATTTCCACCTGTTGTCTATTCCATTTGCACAACAGCATGTGACATTTATTGTCAATCAGTGTTGCTTCCTAAGTGGACAGTTTGATTTCACAGAAGTGTGATTGATTTGGAGTTACATTGTGTTGTTTAAGTGTTCCCTTTATTTTTTTGAGCAGTGTATATTTATGGTGATTGGACTGGTTAAGGGCGTCCGCATGCTACCCAGCCGAAACAGTTCGGAGGAGTTTGTGCATATATTATGACAACATTTTGTGACGTTTTTGTTTGTTTTGGACTTCGGTAACGGTGATTTCGGCTGTTCGGGCACACATTATTTTTTCTGAGGCAAGCCGAAGTCGGTAGCGGAAGTCTACGCCCCTTCGTCGGTGATTGGTCAACAGTAGGGATTCTTCAATAAAGTATTTGTTGTCCTTCAACGACAGATGACTAGTTTTCATGCACATTTTTTCATAGAGAAATACTGCACCAAACATCTTAGTTAGATGTAAAATTGCTTGACTAAGATCTCCTCTGCAAAAACCTCAAAATTAATGACAGATTTCTTGAGATATGTTAGATTAGTTTGGACTATTTTGAGGAATACAGTGTCTCAAAATGGACAAACACTATTGCCGCTTTTCTTCTCTTCCAAGCATTAAGTAAGTAAGCATTTCACTGTAATGTCTGCACCTGTTGTATTCGGCGCATGTGGCCAATAAAATTTGATTTGATTTGAAGCGAAGGTCTTTTAAGGGAGTATGCAAGCACACACGTTGGATTTGGCGCCAGCCGAACTGAAGCATACTGACGCCTTAAGGGTTAAATACCCCCCCCCCCCTTCCTTTTCCTCTTGCTGTCCTGAGGGTCATGTTCCCTCCTGCCTGGACTATAGATCTCTGGAGCAGTTATTTGTCAGCTTCATAAGATTATGATCTGTTATCTTCCCCTGCCTCCTCTACTCTCGCTCTCTCTCTCTGTTTCTCTCTCAGTCTTTCTCTCTCTCTCGCTCTTCAAAAAGACCCCACTCTCCCTCTCTCTTATCAGCTGACTTTAACTGACCAGATACCATCTGACGATGCTCGCTAATGACCTTTATCCCCTTATCTCTCCCTGCGTCTCCATAGCAACCCTCACATGGTGCTGAACATTGACTTGGCACCCACCATCCTGGACATCGCTGGCATGGACGTCCCTCCTGACATGGACGGCAAGTCCATCCTCAAGCTGCTGGACATAGAGAGACCAGTCAACAGGTGGGATATGGAACAAAAAGGGAAACACCCTGCCCATGGACCTTTCATGGCACACTCATATGATGTGTGTATTCTGTATGTTGGCAGGCCATAGATCACTGATAGAAGTAGCTATATATCCTCTAGGTGATTATATTATTATGAGTCGTACATTGGCACTGGCCACTGACAGGTCTGAGTTCCCTCAGGGTTCCTCAAAACTGTGGCACCGCACCAATCATTGGACCTGGCTCGGCCTGCCAAGTTACCATGGCGTCCATTGAGATTACATCCACATCCCAGCGACACTTTTTCCTCCTGCCCAGCCTGGATATTGCTTTCGTTAATGGAAAAAAAATCTAAGAAAATATTAAATAATCCTTCTCCATTCTTCCAAGAAGTGTCAACGGTGACCTGTAGTAATAACTACAGGAGCTGCCCTGCCAACGCCACTGAGTGAAGGAAAGCCTTTCACCAGCGGATAATGAGTATGTGTGTGTGTGTGTGTTGAGGGATTCTCTATTCTCTCTTCCAGCTCTGCAGCTGCAATCAGTGAGAGATGGACTCTCCAGCCTGTGAAATTGTCTGGCAGGCAGAGGAGTCTAGCTGGCTGGCCTGATGTGGGGCTGTGGGGATGGGTTTGCGGAAGAGAGGAAGGCGAGAGACTGGGTGGGATGGAGGAGAGCAGAGCTGTGCTGGGTGTGTGCCTGGTCACTGCTGCTGGCTGTGATGAGAATGACCCTTACAGAGATGAGAGAGAGATGGAGACCGAGAGAAAAGGCAATGAAAGAAGAGAGATGGAGAAAGAAAGGGCAAGGGAGAAAGAGGGAGGGAGGGGGCCGATGGATCGATAACTCATATCTGAACACCCTGCCAGGAGAAGGTCAGAGCACCCAGACAAGAGACCAATTTATTCCACACACTTTCTTTTATTTTCTTCTACGTTCGATCACTTTCTTTTTTCCCGTCCTTTTCCAAAAGAACATCTGAAGGTGGTATCGATAGTTTTTCATCTGAGATAATTTGACCCAGGGCTGTTTTTGATATCCGTTCCAACCTGTTGCATTTTGTCGTCATTGGAGGCTGTCGCTCTACACAGTGTAGGAATTCTAATTTCTTCAAGCGTTACATTGTGTTCTGAATGTAGAACCTGGTCAATGAAGGAGATGGCTGATCGATTTGTCCTTTTCTCTCATGATTTTCAGGTTCCAGGTGAACAAGAAGGGGAAGGTGTGGAGAGACTCATTCCTGGTGGAGAGAGGGTGAGTCACAGGAAATAATCTCAATGTTTTAAATAACCATACTCAGTTTATTTTTTATGTCTCTGTGTGCCCATTAAGTAATCTGGTTACATTCATCTGAGTGTGTGGAAGGTTATGGAGTAGGAAAGTCTCAATGCCACATTATTTAATGAGTTTCTTGCCTTAATATTACCTTACTGATACTTGATATCAAACCATATCAGGCAAAGCTGTGGTTTACAGAATATTGTCATGACTAATCAGCATCCAGGACCATACAGTAACAGCCTAGTATAGTATATACACTGAAAAAATATGTATAATGCAACATGCAACAATTTCTAAGATTTTACTGAGTTACAGTTCATATAAGGAAATCAGTCAATTGTAATAAATCCATTAGGCCCTAATCTATGGATTTCACTGGGAATACAGATATGCATCTGTTGGTCACAGATACCTTAAAAAAAAGGTAGAGCATGGATCAGATAACCAGTCAGTATCTGGTGTGACCACCATTTGCCTCATGCAGCGCGACTCATCTCCTTCACATGGAGTTGATCAGGCTGTTGATTGTGGCCTGTGGAATGTTGTCCCACTCCGCTTCAATGGCTGTGCGAAGTTGCTGGATATTGCCGGGAATTGGAACACGCTGTCGTACACGTCGATCCAGAGCATCCCAAACATGGTCAATGGGTGACATGTTTGGTGACTATGCAGGCCGTGGAAGAACTGGGCCATTTTCAGCTTCCAGGAATTGTGTACAGATCCTTGCGACATGGGGCCATGCATTATTATGCTGAAACATGAGGTAATGGCGGCGGATGAATGGCACAACAATGGGCCTTAGGATCTCGTCACGGTATCTCTGTGCATTCAAATTGCCATCGATAAAATGCAATTGTGTTCTTTGTTCGTACCTTATGCCTGCTCATATCATAACCCCACCGCCACCATAGGGCACTCTGTTCACAACGTTGACATCAGCAAACTGTTTGCCCACTGTCTGCCATCTGCCCGGTACAGTTGAAAACGGGATTAATCCGTGAAGAGCACACTTCTCCTGCAGTCTGCATGCCAATTGCACGCTCTCTCAAAACTTGAGACATCTGTGGCATTGTGTTTTGTGAAAAAACTGTACATTTCAGAGTGGCCTTTTATTGTCCCCAGCACAAGGTGCACCTGTGTAATGACAATGCTGTTTAATCAGCTTCTTGAAATGCCACACCTGTCAGGTGGATGGATTATCTTGGCAAAGGAGAAATGCTCACTAACAGGGATGTAAATGAATTTGTGAACAACATTTGAAAAATACTATTTTTGTGTGTTTTGGAATTTCTGCTGTCTTTTTATTTCAGCTCGTGAAACATGGGACCAACACATTACATGTTGCGTTTTATATTTTTGTTCAGTATAGTTCCATAACTGTGTGTGTGTGTTTTCACAGGAAGTTGCTCCACATACGTGATGCGCCTCCAGGGAAGGATGTGGCACAGGAGGAGAACTTCCTGCCTAAGTACCAGCGGGTCAAGGACCTGTGTCAGAGAGCAGAGTACCAGACACCCTGCCAACAGCTGGGACAGGTAGGCAGCCATGCACACACACATTATATGCTCACACTTCAATTAACAGTCAAATTCACAGCAACACACACACTCAGACTCATATTAACACAGACACACAAGTATAACACTCTAGACTGAAGACACTTAAAACATACTAAGACTCTTGACGGTTGATACAGTGCATTTGGAAAGTATTCAGACCCCTTGACTTTTTCCACATTTTGTTACATTACAGCCTTATTCTAAAATGGATTAAATAAAAAATGTCCTCATCAATCTACACACAATACACCATAATGACAAAGCGAAAACAGGTTTTTATAAATGATTGCAAATGTATTAAAAATAAAAAACAGAAATACCTTATTTACATAAGTATTCAGACCCTTTGCTATGAGACTCGAAGTTGAGCTCAGGTGCATCCTGTTTCCATTGATCATCCTTGAGATGTTTCTACAATTTGATTGGAGTCCACCTGTGGTAAATTCAATTGATTGGACATGATTTGGAAAGGCACACACCTGTCTATACAAGGTCCCACAGTTGACAGTGCATGTCAGAGCAAAAACCAAGCCATGAGGTCGAAGGAATTGTCCGTAGAGCTCCGAGACAGGATTGTGTCGAGGCACAGATCTGGTGAAGGGTACCAAAACATTTATGCAGCATTGAAGGTCCCCAAGAACACAGTGGCATCCATCATTCTTAAATGAAAGAAGTTTGGAACCACTAAGACTCTTCCTAGACCTGGCCACCCGGCTAAACTGAGCAATCGGAGGAGAAGGGCCTTGGTCAGGGAGGTGACCAAGAACCCGATGGTCACTTTGACAGAGCTCCATAGTTCCTCTGTGGAGATGGCAGAACCTTCCAGAAGGACAACCATCTCTGCACCACTCCATCAATCAGGCCTTTATGGTAGAGTGGCCAGACGGAAGCCACTCCTCAGTAAAAGGCACATGACAGCCCGCTTGGAGTTTGCCAAAAAGCACCTAAAGGACTCTCTGACCATGAGAAACAAGATTCTCTGGTCTGATGAAACCAAGATTGAACTCTTAGGCCTGAATGTCAAGCGACACGTCTGGAAGAAACCTGTCACCATCCCTACGGTGAAGTATGGTGGTGACAGCATCATGCTGTGGGGATGTTTTTCAGCGGCAGGGACTGGAAGACTAGTCAGGATCGAGGGAAAGATGAACAGAGAAAAGTACAGAGAGATCCTTGATGAAAACCTGCTCCAGAGCTCCGATTTAACATTGCTGGAGAGACCTGAAAATAGCTGTGCAGTGACACTCCCCATCCAACCTGACAGAGTTTGAGAGGATCTGTAGAGAAGAATGGGAGAAATATTGATGAGGAGAAAAAAAACAATTTAATCCATTTTAGAATAAGGCTGTAACGTAACAACATGTGGAAAAAGTCAAGGGGTCTGAATACTTTCCGAATGCACTGTAAGTCACTTCCTATCATCCGTCTCTCAGTTTGGCATCTCACCTCCATACGTATCAGTTAATTGGTGTCTGAGAATCTACTTAAAAAGGCTCTGTATCCTCTTGATCACCTGCTGGTGTAGAGAGATAGTGAGCTGCTGGGTGTTCTTTTGGAGCGGTATGGGGGAGGAAAGGAGACTGAATATACCATGCAGGTTGGTTTCTCACTGGGATTAGACAGGATAGACAGGTGCTTTTATCAATCTCTGTCCCCAATGACAGACAGACAGGAGGACCAGGCTTTGAAACTAAAGAGCTGTGTTTCAGGTGATTAGGCTTTGAGTCAGGTCTGTTGCCTTAGCTATGCCTCCCAGGACACACACACATACACGCAAACACACACTCCCCCCACCTCGCTAATGACAGACAGTGGCGGAGTGTGTGTGACAGTTCTCTAGCTGTCAGATCAAACACACCTGCAATTTCAAGCACTTAGATCTATCTTACCAAGATTGACCATTGAACAGTAGTCCCTGAGGTGTCTCTGTATCCAACCTATCAATCTCCCTCTCTCTCACTCCTTTTTGTTCCTGTCTCTTCTGGAGTAGAAAGTCCTTTTCCCACTGTCAGTGGCTCTCTTATTCTCTCTTGGATCCTGCTGGATTTCCTCTTTGACACGTCTACTCTTTTTTTCCATCTGACATCAAATATGTTAATTAGAAAGCTCTGTCTGTAATTTCACAAGTAACCACTGACAGAGAAAGTGTCAACAGAATCTGTATAATAATTAGATTGAGACGGAGCTGCAGCAGCCCTGCTCGGTGCTCTGTCTGTGTACACTACTACTGTAGCTGCCTGTTCATTATGACAGAATGGGATGGTGTGGAAGCAGAGATGAGAATGGGGAAGAGACTAGCATCTTGTCAAATACAGGCCCTCTCCTCTCCGCCGTGCCATGGTTTGTCATCATCACCTGTTAATTGCAGTTGAAACAACATCACAGACGGGGGAATGGAAGTTAATATTAGGCTACTTAGCGTCGCTTGTTTCCACCTGCGAGTAATTTCACCTTGAGAAGCACGGGGTGTGTGGAAAGATCCACTATATGTTTCTCTCAGTGTTAACCTCTGTCCCCCTCTCCTCTGTCTCCCTGCAGAAGTGGCAGTGTTTGGAGGATGCCACAGGGAAGCTGAGGCTGTATAAGTGTAAGGGCATGGCCAGCATGTCTGCAGCCCAGAAGGAAGGCCCTGCCAACATCAAGTCCAAGTACTACCCCCAGCGCAAGGCAGAGCGCAACACAGAGCCCGACGGCTGTAACTGTGACCAGTACCCCAGCTTCAGACTCAGCACCTTTAAAAAGAAGAAGCTGCTCTCCAAGAAGAGTAAGTGGAGTGGAAAGAATGTGTGGCACACTCTTGTCACACACTTCTCACACACTCATGTAAACACACAAAATTCTGCTTCACAAAATGTTCCTCACTCACTCAACCTTGCATGAATACTGTACAGTCACTCGCTTCTTATAACTGATGTGGAATGTGGGCATCACCTTGTGGAGACAATAATACCTTCACCCACAGTCATTATTTAAATGTTGAGTATATAACTTTGTGGGCGACCCGACCAAATTCACATAAAAATGTAATCTGTCATTCTTATTGAAAGCAAGTCTGATAAGTGGTAGATCCATTCTATGTGCGCTATTCTGATGATTTCTGTGTTTAAGTTTAGCTTTTGCTTCTTTTTACTTTCGGTTTCACACACCAGCTTCAAACAGCTGAAAATACAATGTGTGTTTGGTTATTAAAAAAAAAATATATATATATATATATACAGTATATATTGTACAATGATTCTCTACACCCCTCAAATTAAAATCTGGACCTCAAAGCCAGTTCCACTGCTGTTTCATTTTTCCCCTCTAATCAGGGACAGATTTAGACCTGGGACACCAGGTGGGTACAATTAATTATAAGGTAGAACAGAAAGCCAGCAGGCTCCAGACTTCATAGGGTAAGATTTGAATACCCCTACTCTACACTATACATTGCTTGTTTTGTCACATAAACTGAAATTAGGTGAACATGATGATAGAATTTTGGCAACCAGTAAATGGCGGAGCGATTTCTACATATTGCACATGTTAATGAGTACCATAGGGCCTGATAGGGTTTATATACTGACTGTAGAAATCCCTCCACTAACTCACCCTGCCCTCCTCCTGACAGAGATGAAAGCCATCAAGAGCTACGCCCGTAACCGTTACTCCCGCTCTGTGGAGATGGAGATAGGAGGGGAGCTGTATGCTGTAGACTTGGAGGATGGCTACCAACCTGTACCGGCCCCCAGGAACCTCAGCCAGGCTGGGGACAGGACCCCACGCGACGACACTGAGGATGACTTCAGTGGCATGGGGGTCACTGTCACCGTCACCCCCAAGACTAGCAGCAACAGTCTAGCTATTGTGCCTTCTGGCATCAAAGTCACACACAGGTCAGGGAGTGTGTCGATGTTCTATGTGGATGGGTGGGTTTGTTTGTAGTGTGCTAGTACTGCATGTTGAATGTGTTGTTGTGTTAGTTATTGATTAGGCTAAATGCTCACTGTGTATCCTGTCCTCAGGTGCTCTATTCTGGCCAATGACACAGTGAAGTGTGATACAGGGATCTATAAGTCCCTGCAGGCCTGGAAGGACCACAAACTCCACATCGATCACGAGGTTAGTCTTCTCAGCCACTCACATAACTGATGTTTTATTCCTCAATGCAGTTGATTATCTTCAGTGGTCACAGTGATCGTGTAATGACAATCAATGACTGACAACGAAATCAATTACAATTATGGACAGCATCATTATTATTATTAATTAGTTGAATATAGCCTGCTATTGACACATATATACACAGATTCAGTTCCTGTGTTGAATGCCACCCTCAGTGTTGTAATCCACTGAATGTACAAAACATTAGGAACACCTTCCTAATATTGAGTTGCATCCCCTTTTGCCCTCAGAACAGCCTCAATTCGTCGGGGCATGGACTCTACAAGGTATCGAAAGCGTTCCACAGGGATGCTGGCCCATGTTGATGCCAATGCTTCCCATAGTTGTGTGATGTTGGCTGGATGTCCTTTGGGTGGTGGACCATTCTTGATACACACGGGAAACTGTTGAGCGTGAAAAACCCAGCAGTGTTGCAGTTCTTGACACAAACAGGTGCACCTGACCCCGTTCAAAGGCACTTAAATATTTTGTCTTGCCCATTCACCCTCTGAATGGCACAAATAAACAATTAATGTCTCAATTGTACCTAATGTTTTGTACACTCAGTGCAAAAGCCATTTAGCAGACACTTTATTCCAAACGATTTACAGTCATGCCTGCATACATTTTACGTACGGGTGGTCCCAGGAATCGAACTCCTGGCATTGCAAGCGCCATGCTCTACCAACTGAGCTACAGAAGACCACATTGTTGTGATATTTCTCTATCTAATGCCCTGCATCTCTGTCAGATTGAGACCTTGCAGACAAAGATCAAGAACCTAAGAGAGGTTAGGGGTCACCTGAAGAAAGCCCGCCCAGAGGAGTGTGACTGCAACCGCTACATGTAAGGACCAAACAACTCTTAGGAATCCACAGTTCATGTTGCACAGCTGCTTTATTACCAATATCCTTCCACACACTAAACGCCAGCATTAAATGCATTTACAGTAAACATAACGGCACTCTACCAGACTTGAATAGCTTTTCTCCATGCTCATAAAGACTGATTATGTAAATATCCGTCTGTGTTTCAGCTACAAGTCTAAGTACAAGAGTAAGCTCAGGCACAACGGAGGCAGCATTCACCCATTCAGGTAAGGGTGTGGGTTTGTGAATAAGAAAGGGACATTTACTGTATGTGTGCTTATGCCTGTGTAATGATTGTATATCTACAATATAAACTCAGCAAAAAAAGAAACGTCCCTTTTTCAGGACCCTGTCTTTCAAAGATAATTCGTAAAAATCCAAATAAGTTCACAGATCTTCATTGTAAAGGGTTTAAACACTGTTTCCCATGCTTGTTCAATGAACCATAAACAATTAATGAACATGCACCTGTGGAACGGTCATTAAGACACTAACAGCTTACAGACGGTAGGCAATTAAGGTCTGAAAAACACCAAAATAAAGATGCCCAGGGTCCCTGCTCATCTGCGTGAACGTGCCTTAGGCATGCTCAAGGAGGCATGAGGACTGCAGATGTGGCCAGGGCAATAAATTGCAATGTCTGTACTGTGAGACGCCTAAGACAGTGCTACAGGGAGACAGGACGGACAGCTGATCGTCCTGGCAGTGGCAGACCACGTGTAACAACACCTGCACAGGATCGGTACATCCGAACATCACACCTGCGGGACAGGTACATGATGGCAACAACAACTGCCCGAGTTACACCAGGAATGCACAATCCCTCCATCAGTGCTCAGACTGTCCGCAATAGGCTGAGAGAGGCTGGACTGAGGGCTTGTAGGCCTGTTGTAAGGCAGGTGCTCACCAGACATCACCGGCAACAACGTCGCCTATGGGCACAAACCCACCGTCACTGGACCAGACAGGACTGGCAAAAAGTGCTCTTCACTGACGAGTCGCGGTTTTGTCTCACCGGGGTGATGGTCGGATTCGCGTTCATCGTCGAAGGAATGAGTGTTACACCGAAGCCTGTACTCTGGCACGGGATCGATTTGGAGGTGGAGGGTCTGTCATGGTCTGGGGCGGTGTGTCACAGCATCATCGGACTGACCTTGTTGTCATTGCAGGCAATCTCAATGCTGTGCGTTACAGGGAAGACATCCTCCTCCCTCATGTGGTACCCTTCCTGCAGGTTCATCCTGACATGACCCTCCAGCATGACAATGCCAGCAGCCATACTGCTCGTTCTGTGCGTGATTTCCTGCAAGACAGGAATGTCAGTGTTCTGCCATGGCCAGCGAAGAGCCCGGATCTCAATCCCATTGAGCATGTCTGGGACCTGTTGGATCGGAGGGTGAGGGCTAGGGCCATTCCCCCCCAGAAATGTCCGGGAACTTGCAGGTGCCTTGGTGGAAGAGTGGGGTAACATCTCACAGCAAGAACTGGCAAATCTGGTGCAGTCCATGAGGAGATGCACTGCAGTACTTAATGCAGCTGGTGGCCACACTAGATACTGACTGTTACTTTTGATTTTGACCCCCCCCCTTTGTTCAGAGACACATTATTCAATTTCTGTCAGTCACGTCTGCGGAACTTGTTCAGTTTATGTCTCAGTTGTTGAATCTTGTTATGTTCATACAAATATTTACACATGTTAAGTTTGCTGAAAATAAACGCAGTTGACAGTGAGAGGACGTTTCTTTTTTTGCTGAGTTTATATTTGAATGTTTCATTGTGCCACTGTATGATGTGTGTATTTCTATGTGTGTGACGTCATCAGGAAGGGTCAGGATAAGAAGACGTGGTTGCTGAAAGAGCAGAAGAGGAGGAAGAAGATGCGGAAGCTGCTGAAACGTCTGAGGAACAACGACACCTGTAGCATGCCTGGTCTCACCTGCTTCACCCACGACAACCAGCACTGGCAGACCGCCCCCTTCTGGACCAGTAAGACACTACACACACACACACTCACAAACACACATACAGTACACACTAGCATTACTGACTATTCTCTGTCTGCAGTGGGTCCGTTCTGTGCCTGCACCAGTGCCAACAACAACACCTACTGGTGTCTAAGGACCATCAACGAGACACACAACTTCCTCTTCTGCGAGTTTGCTACTGGCTTCCTGGAGTACTTTGACCTCAACACAGATCCCTACCAGGTCAGTACTCAATCCTCACCACAATCACTCCTCTGTAAAGATGTTTTCTAATATGTTTTTCTAATGTTTCCACTTCATTTCAATGAAATTACGTTGAACCAACGTGGAATAGACATTGAATTGACGTCTGTGCCCAGGGGTTGCCTGTTGCCTTGTTTCAAGATAGCAAACTGAAAATCAGCTATTATATAAGAGATGTTAGACCAGTATGAAGACCAGTACTATTCATCTCTCACCGACCTGGACTCTCTCTCTCTCTCTCTCTCTCTCTCTCTCTCTCTCTCTCTCTCTCTCTCTTTCTCTCTCTCTCTCTCTCTCTCTCTCTCACTCACACACCTGGACTCTCTCTCTCACACACTCTCACCCACCCGGACTCTCTCTCTCGCTCTCACCCACACGGACTCTCTCTCTCTCTCACACACCCGGACTCTCTCTCTCTCTCGCTCTCACCCACCCGGACTCTCTCTCTCTCTCTCTCACTCACCCACCCGGACTCTCTCTCTCTCACTCACCCACCCGGACTCTCTCTCGCTCTCTCTCACCCACCCGGACTCTCTCTCTCTCTCTGTGTGTAGCTGATGAATGCTGTGAACACGTTGGACCGAACCATTCTAAACCAGCTCCACGTTCAACTCATGGAGCTCCGCAGCTGCAAGGGCCACAAGCAGTGCAACCCCCGCACCCGCAACCTGGAGCTGGGTGAGTTCCTTTAACACACACACACACACACTATGCCAGGTTGTTGTGGGTTGTGACTACAGACGAATGATCTCTGTTTGTCATCCTCATCACCATCATACTCACCACCAGACCCAAGTCCTGCCTTGCTTTCTGTTCTTGCATTACTTCTCATGTACCAGTTCTATAACTGCATTTTAAACAATTACAACCTCTCCCTCTGGAATGTGTTTTGTTCCTTTTAATTAAGGTCAATTCAGTTTTTCTTTTTTGTATTTATTTGAATTTCAGATACCATTTTGGCTTTAAAACGACTGCTCTTTCTAAACCATTTAAAAACCTCTCTTAACTAGGTCTCTGTGCCTTCATTGATAGGAATCTGTTCATATGTTTTCTAACCACTGCTATTGTCTCTTCTTCAGGAGGTAAAGAGCGAAGCAGCTTTGATGAATACAGGTATCTTTACTCATTGACTTGAACACCACTCAGCACTTCACAATTTATTAGATATTAGTACTATATAAGATTTATATAAATATTCCTAAAAGATAGCACACATACTTGGTCTAGAATACATTGACAAAATACACAACACTTAGAGAATACATAGGTGTGGGGCGATTGCGTTTGAGAGTGTTTTTTGGTGTGCTGTTTCTCTTGCTTTCCTCTGCTTCTTTGCATGACAGCTGGTTTGGGGGGACTGAGCACTTTTCTAACCTGGGGGGTACACTGTACGTATGCTTGACTGTCTCTGCACTCCTTCTGACTGAGGTTGGGAGAGGGTTGAGGGCTTATTTTCCTCTGCTTGAATGGGCTGGGTAACAGTCTGTCTTATTGTCGCTTGTACATCAGGCAGTTTCAACGCAGAAAGTGGCCAAAAGTGAAGAAGCCCACCTCCAAATCACTGTGAGTTTGGACATCCATCTGGTCCTCACGATGCCACCAAACAGTCACCTCTAACTGAGCTTTTCTTCCTCTCTTTCCTCTCTTCCTTTTCTGTAGGCTTGCATGCTGATCTCTGCTAGTTCTAGTTAATAACCATGTCTGTCTCACTCTCCTGTCTGTCTGCATGGATGTTATTCGAACCTGCACAGCTCTGCTCACATCTCACCCTGTCCTACTGTTTCTCACCAGTAGAGGGCGCCATCCACCACCACCACCACCCAACACATCTGACTTAATCATCTTAGCATCTCTGTCTATTGGTTGACTTTTCTCTTTATTACATTTCATATGGTCTCTTATAATGTCTCTTTCTGATACTCTACTGTCCATGTGGCTTGTGTGTTTCGTGATTTATCTCTATATATTTATCTCTGATATACTAGAGCCTGATGTGAACATCACAGCATCAACCCATTCACGTGGTGCTGATGGGAAGAGATACAGACATAACAGGTGCCCGAGGTTTACTGTGGATGACGCTGTTTTTGTCTGTGTGCTTTTGTCTCATCAGAGGACAGATTTGGGAAGGCTGGGAGGGATAGGGTCCATGAGGTTAGAGTGGCCCCGTCCGAAGCGCCCACTGTGGGGGGAACGGGAATGGACTGGTCAGAACTTGAACCCTTGTACAGACTTGACGAGCATGCCTACGATCTCAAACTCAACTTCAATGTCAGCCTGGAGGACTGGGACAACTTTGACGGGACCGTGGACAGGATGTTCACGTTGCTCGGCAACTTCAACCACCAGCCAAACGGGCGCCGCAGCAACGTGATTCCCGGGGAGGGGAGAGGAGGAAGAGACCACGCCCTGGTGTCATCAACGGACCAATCAGCCTCAGCCATCTACCTGACCACCCTGGCCACCCCTGCTCTCCTGCTGAGAGAGGCTGGGGCCGAGGTCCTGAGGGAGGCACTGGGGCTGAATGGAGGGCCGCACCGCTCTGCCTCCTCTTCCTCTTCCTCTCCCCCAGTTCCAGCTGAGGAAGGCAGCTCAGACTGGGACCGCCCCCCGCCTCTCCTCAACCAGTTTGTGGAGGAGGGCCAGCCCACTCTGCATGAGAAGGAAGAGGATGAGGAGAGCAGGGAGAGAGGTGATGAAGAGGAGAAGGAGTTGTTGAGAAGGCGGTCGACCCGATGGAGACTGAACCATGCTCAGTGTGACTGCAGTGAGTTTGTTCAGGAGGCTGAGAATGGGTTGCCCGTATGACTGCTTGTAAGACCCCTCTCTCTCTGTCTCCCCTCCTCACCTGAGATTTTAGGGAGACTGAACCAGCACAACGCCACCTCTGGCCTGTCCCCCACCCTGACCCTTCACCCCTGACCTCTCACCCTCTTCCTCCTTAGGCCACAGCAGCACCTCCAGGCTGATATCGGGATGAGCCTGTCCCTTTAATCCATACTGTGGCCCTCCAGTGCCCCAGCCATAGCCCAGGCCAGCAGACTGCCCCCTGCTGGCCCCTTCCTGTAATACACCACCACACAACAGACTTCACAAGGAGATCCTCTAGGCTCGAACACAGCAGCAGTACATGATTATTTTCCTAATGCAGGACGTTACTTTGCTTTGGTTTTTGTTTGTGGGGCAGGGAGCTTTGCGAATGGGAGAGGAAAAGAAACTTGATAGATTTTTGATATTCATTGGATTCATTTTGTATTGTGTCCATGTGTACTTGACTTTTTGGTTTTTACTACTAGCTATATTCATTGGTGGTGATTCCATCCCACTGTGCAGCTTCAGTGTATGTGGCACATTGATTTATTGTTTTTTACCCGTGTGTTACTAATCAACATTAAAAACCCTTAATTCTATTAAATGCAGATTATGTAATAAATGTAATTATCAATTATGAGGTTGCAGCGACGCACACACACACACACTTTCAGTTAGAGTGCTGTTGAACCTGCCCTTGAGTATGGCGGCAAACATGCATGAGGATGCAGTGGTTAGGGTTAGAGTGCAGGTAGGAACTGGGAGAGTGCCATCGAAGTGCCATCTCTTTTCAGTTTAATTATGTTTCTAATGAAAAACAAGAGACTTGATATTTATGCGAATCAAATATTTTTTTGGAACTCATTCTCTTTTGTTGTTCTTTTTTAAATTTCAAAATGAGTGTTTGACGTCCAGATGTTGAACAGAATAAGAGTTTTTACTAATAAGATTTCTACAGCTTGGCCAACATACAACTTGGTATCCGTGGCATTACCTGTTATAAAAACAGTCAGTCCAATCAGAGAACATGCATTTGAAGACAGTCATCTGATGTGAATCTAACTTGTCCAGTCTGTTTGGTTAATCTGTGAGTCTTTTTATGAAGTCATCAATCCAATACTTCACTGACATCATCAAAGGCCTCAGAGAGAGAAAGTGCACTTGTTTTGCAAGCCGGTTTGTCCCAGAGATGGGTGGGACATAGGTTTGGCAACTCGCTCAGACCTTACAGCAAACCTGGCAGTTTATGTTGCCTAATGCCACTTATGGAAACTCAGGACATGCTGGTTTGTAAAACAAGCACACCCAGTCATGATCAGCCGTAACTTCATGGTGTAAAGACTGTACACATTTCCCTTATCATGTATTTTCTGTAGAAATTAAAATAAATGGAAAAATAAATGTATTTAACGAATGTTGCATTCTTTATAACAATATATGGCTGTTACTAGTCCTTTTGTTTTCGCTATACATGGTGCTATTGCGGTCTCAACGTATATATAAAATTGCTGCATGTATTTGAATGTATGTTTTTAATGTAAATGTTAAAATATATTTTATAATACACAGAAAACGAAAGGTTTAATGATCTATCAAACAGTGCCGTCTCTACTATCAGTGCACGGATGTTTCACACCTGTAAGTATAGTCAGATATGAAGCTGCAAGGATTTTTTCCACGCTAAATTGACCTGTAAACTGAATCTCCCCCCAGTAATGTTGTACCATATTGTATGACGTAAAACAAGTCCCTTCTCCACCTGGAAAAAAAGAAGCAACACAACTTTTTATTAGCACTTTGAAAGGGACTACTGTATGTGAAAGAAGAAGAAAACAGATGGTTTTATCATAACAATGCCTTGTACAGTTAAATAGATTTATCATACATATATTTTTGTTTCCTTCGGTTTACCAGTGAACAGTTGATAGCGGTAACTAGTTTGTGAATAAAGTGTTGAATGCCAAGGTTTCCTCTTTACTTAATCTGGGGTGTGTTTATTTTTCATGTTCATCTCAGTCCTGCCGTCTTTGATTGGGAGACTCTGTTACCAATGCCATATATGCCAATTTCTTTATTGCACATTCATGCACTGTATAACATATTTTTCTGTGTTCTGAATAACCATACATTTGATCTTGTTTCATATTCAGCCAGCAGGTGTCACTGGTACTTTCAGCTTGGGAAGCCGTGATGACTAGCACATACAGTTTATAATCATGTCAGCAATTTGAAATCTCTTGACAACTGCCTTGTTTTATTAGCCTAGTACATAAGCATTCTTTCACAAACAGGTTATTTGATGACAGACTCCAGTCCGAACCAATGTTGGGGGGACAGTTGCCTATGTAGTGGTCTATCCCGGGTCTGAGGTGCATTTACTCTATCTGGACACTAGATGGGTGTATTGAATCATTTTGACACAGATCATCAGACAGCCCAATGCCGAGGACAGTTCAATTACAGTCCTGTAGGGATACGATTCCACACAACCCAAACGCATGGTGGAGGGGAAGGAGGGGGAAACGCCGACCGTCTGACTCACACAGACAGGGCAGGGGTGAGAGGCAGTACTCTATGCTGTAGTTACGTGGAACTACACAAAGCTGGGAAATCTACTACAACGCACATCTTTTTCCAACTTTTTGCGCATACAATGTGAGGAAAATGGCCGAGACAAGGTAAGCAAGTACTATTGTACAGTGTATTGTCAATGTATGTTTTGGTGAACGAAACTAGACGGATACAATTAAACAAGTTTTTGCTGTTGATCCTCGTTACAATGTAGTAGCTTCTCACGTCTGCCGACTCATGACTGTCTGCTGTACAACAGTACAATACCGCTAATAAAACAGGCTTGAAGTAGGCTAATTGATTGGCGATGAAGTTTCAAATTGGTCAAACCTTTATAGCACAACGTATTGTCTCGGTTTAGCTTTTCGTGCCAGAAATGAAAATGTTCATTGTATTTGCAATTCAAAGGTTATGCTATAAAAATGAATAAGAATCAACATTTGTTAAACGCAATTCGTTATTACAATGTAATAATATCCTGTAGTCAATGAAACTCACTTCAAGCTGATAAAAGCTGATATACAGGACACTAACAAGATATAAAAACGAATGCATTAGGATAAATGTTATGGTATTTCAATAATTATTTGATTGTTCTGTATCAATTGGTATTCATTATGGATGTGGCCCCTTTCTTTTCTAGACAGTAATTTTTTTTAACACAACACAGGCCTACCTGTCCTACACCACGGTGCACTCCACTGCTCCTCATGGGTGTGAAAAAGTAGAAGCAGTCAAACCATGCCTCTGGGTAACTTCAACGTTCAAACACGAGAACTAAGGTTTTTAAAATGGAATAGGTCTAATGGGTTATTCTGGGGGGAAACGTGCCTGATCTTGACCCGCTGCATATCTGTGAACATATGCTGAACGCTATATGAGAGGGCTACGCTATAGGAGAGTGCTGGTTTGTTTCACATGTTCAAGGACCACCTCCTTCCCTTCCCTTTGGTACTGTCAGTCAATCTGCCAGTCAGGCACATCCCATCCTGACTGCCAGGTGCCATCCTTCAAGGTCCAGTGCAGCCGTTTTTATCTCAATAAGCCATCATCTCTGGGTAACAATTAAATACCTTACTGTGATTGTTTTCTGTTAAAATTGTAAAAAAATAAACAATTATTTCTTAGCAAAGAGCAATTTCTCAAGCAATAATTTTTCAAGTACTGTAGCTAGGTTTCCATCCAATTGGCAACAGATTTTCATGCGAATACTCTCTAGGATCTGCATAAAGGAAATATGCGCATTTTCCCACCAGTGGTGTGTTCCCACCAAATTGACTTTTTACTGATAAAAATCAGTGTGTCATATCATAGTGCACACAAAATATACTTTTTCGATTGTACGGAATACAAATCTAAAGTTCAATATGTTTCCATCACATTTTCAACAATACCGATAGTTTTGTCACAAAAACTGTTGCGTTAGCAAATGTTCCTACTCTGGTCTTAGAACGTGCGCTCAAGCCGACAGCTCGCAGATAGGCCTACCGTGTGGGTAGGCTGTGCAGGTAGAGTCTACACATGATGAGATTATTGTGGATAAGAGAGAGAATAGTTTTATTTGTCAAACACAGTCAAGCATCGATCATAATGTCACCGAATAAGACCCTAGATATTTATTGGAAAGGAGCATCACGATCACCGTGCACTTTCACCGCCCTGTGAAGTTCATCATAATTTACTTAATCTGTAGCCAAATAAACTGCATGGGTTCCCAAGAAGTAGTGGGAGGACCACACACCATATCATCTCGTGACTCCAAGTTTACTTTGATAGGATGGTTATTATATCAATACAGTGCATTCGGAAAGTATCCCTTTTTCCACATTTTGTTAAGTTACAGCCTTATTCTAAAATGGATTTTAAAAAATGAATCCTCATCAATCTACAGACAATACCCCATAATGACAAAGCGAAAACACGTTTTTAGAAATCTTTACAAATGTATTAAAAATATAAAACAGAAATACCTTATTTGCATAAGTATTCAGACCCTTTGCTATTAGTCTCGAAATTGAGCTCAGGTGCGTTCTGTTTCCATTGATCATCCTTGAAATGTTTCTACAACTTGATTGGAGTCCACCTGTGGGAAATTCAATTGATTGGACATGATTTGGAAAGGCACACGCCTGTCTATATAAGGTCACAGTGCATGTCAGAGAGCAAAAACCAAGCCATGAGGTTGAAGGAATTGTCCGTAGAGCTCAGAGACAGGATTGTGTCGAAGCACAGATCTGGGGAAGGGTACCAAAATAGTTCTGCAGCGTTGAAGGTCCCCAAGAACACAGTGGCCTCCATCATTCTTAAATGGAAGAAGTTTGGAACCACCAAGACTCTTCCTAGAGCTGGCCGCCCGGCCAAACAGAGCAATCGGGGGAGAAGGGCCTTGGTCAGGGAGGTGACCAAGAACCTGATGGTCACTC